CAGCCTCAGGGAGATGAGGCAGGATTAATAATTGTGATCAATGTGTTTCTTGTTTCCAGATACAGCATACCAGAAGGTATTTTGTGAGTATGATATATGAGTCACTGTGGGATGCAGCAGAATTTTTTGGCCTTGCAGCTGTGGAGGTACAGTATTCATCTTCTCTGAGCCTATAAAACATGCAGCCCAGGGACATGATGAATATGTTTTGCAGAAGCTCAAGTGGAAACTCCAGGGAAGTTCCTTGAAAGTGTTTCTAAACAACAAGACATTGATTTTGTTAGTTACACAAAGTAAGATAAACCTTCCAGATCTCCTTAACACTTCTTCCCCTGCCCCTCCTCACTTTTTTGGCTTAATTCCAAAGCCTCTAAAGATAGGATTGACTGGGGACTGGTATTTGCTTAAGCCCCTGTTTTCAGGTTTGGAGTACCCAGCCTTCATCACAACCTGTGCCAGTAGATGACAAGTTGATAGTCTTATCTGGGCATCCAGAGGACACAGACCAAGGGAAAAACAAGAGGCAGGGGTAGTCCAGCAATACAAACCCTTTGCAAGAAAACTATCTCATCTTCTGGCTGTGCAGTGAGGGAACTTGTCTGGTGCTATGTGATGAATTATCCCCCACTCATAATTCATCCCATGTCTTGCACTCATCCCCTGCTCTGTTTATCAAACCTGTTGGTCCCGCTGCTGCCCAAAGACTGTATTTAATTGGTTCATCAATCATCTGGCTGCCAGCCACAGTCTTGCCAGGGAAAGGAAGTACCGTAAAACTCCACAGATAATGTAACTCTGATTAGGAAAAGTGCTTACTTGTGCAGCCACTTTTAAGCCTATTAGAATAGCTGTTTGTATTCCTTACTACTTAAATTAAGGCACTTAGCTTGAAGAGGCTGTAGTGAATGAAGCCCTTTGTTAATAAGGCATTTGGATCTTCATTCTTGCACCAGTCCTGGCTGCATTACAGTCAGAGACAAGCATGATGGACCAATTAATACCAGTTAAGTATTCAACACGGTAATATTCATAGCTGGGGCTTTGCTTTTCAGGGGAAAGAAGTAACAAAAGCAAATATTGCTTCAGTGAGGCCGGAGCTCGCAGAAATCCATTTCCAGGCTGGGTATGAATGGCTAGACAAACAGTGCCTTTGTACCATTTGGCACATCAGCCCCAGGGGCTTGGAAAGGGTCCTGGTGCTGTACTTTACCCGATCCTCACTTCTAATTGAGCAGAAACGCCTGGATGCATGCAGGGCTTTGACATTTCAGGCCAGGCTTCTGAGTAGACTGGGTGCCTGTGGCACCCGGGGGTGCAGAGAGCACGTCCATGCAGTACCCAAGATACAGACCCTGTGAACACAAATGAACAGCCTGACCACTGTCTGCATTTAGATGCCTTAGTTTCTTTTTAGTTTTAATGACCATTATTTTCACCTTTTCTACCACAACAAGGAAAAGCTGGTGAGACTGGGTCTGACTGGGCTCTCTGATCTACACGAGACATTTCTTGTCCTCATTTCCTGCATGGAGTTTGATAGAGCACAGGCATCCCTGGCGTGGAAGCCCCTAGAGTGTCACTTCTCTGTGTCAGGCATCAAAGGGTCTGGGTTATAAGCTGTTGGATGGGTACCAAAACCAAGGGAGTTCCTCAAAATGCACAGAGATACCAAAGATCTGACCCATGTTGAAAAAAAAGTTCAAGAAAACCTGCCTATTAGTTGCTAGATGCTCACCTATTAAAATTGACCTCAATTGCATTTTGTGTAATAACTGTTTTCCAGATCTGTTTAGCTTAAACCTGCAGAAATGCTGTAATTTCATATAGCAACATCGTGGAGTAATGGGATTGTTTTGCTAATTAGGAAATAGCAACAAAGAATTTTCTTAGTGGTAAGCAAATCCTTTCAGACTAGTCTTACGTCGATGGAGGATGATTTCTGTGTTGGTGATTTCTCCATCTCAATGGAAACCTTTCTGAATGGATTAAAGGAGGAATATAAAATTGTCCTTCCCATGTGCCCTTACCTATGCATTCTACATTCAGAATTTGATATAGGAGGGATTTGATTGTGCTAAGCCACAAAGTATGCATTAAGTTAAAAGAACAAAACAAAACCTACTCGGATTAGGTAATTTGTTGGAAACTAGAACTTCTGTGAAAGTGCATGCCTATTCCCCAAGTAACATCAAGCTATATCATAATGACAGGAGCTGCAAAATTCATCAACTTCATGGCAGCATGTGACTAAGACAACTGGTTTTGTCTGGGATGAAAATTTTAATGGGAAGTTGGATTTTCACCATAGGTGCAATCCTTTCACAAAGGTTAGGGCTTTCCTCAAAGAGCTCATCGAGAAAAAAAAGGTGTTCATTGTGAGCAGGTTTATCGCTAGGTTGAAGATCCTATCCCGAAAAAAGGCTATCTGTGCTCATCAGCCTTCTGAATCCCTTCGGGTCATTTAACACATCATTTTGGTTAGATCCGACCTCTTTTATTGAATCCAATCAAGATACACTGTCAGGTTTACAGATTATTTGACATTTTGTTTAATGGTTTCTTTTCTCTTTGAGTTTCCATCCATTTTTGAGTGAAAAAATACTGTTTTGAAACTGTACAAAGTTTCATTTAAAAGAGGTCAGCCCAAAATGTTGCAGAATTTTCCATAACATAACATGACATTTCAGAAATGTCAAATTGAAATGTCCCAGCATTTTCAAACTTTCCCTCCATTTGGAGGTTGAAACTGTTTACCTGAGTTTATTCAAAGGCTCAAATAGCTTCAATGCTGTGCATTTACCTTCACCTGACAAATCTGACCTAACTTCTGTGAATAGGAGCCTCTCTGTTCAAGTCTTTTATTAATGCTGCAGATGCTTGAAGACAATCTTTGAGGAGAGCTGAATGACCAGCTCTTTCTAAAGCTTTCTCTGCTTTCCTTGCCAAGACTTTTAACCGACCCTAAGAAATATTTCCATGATCCCCAAAGTCCCTGGCATTTTTATGGAAAGGGCTCTTCTTTTGAGTGTTTGGAGGTCCCAGACAAGAAGCTCATGAAATCCCTGCTCACCCTGCTGAGAGGCATGGCCGGATATCCTTTGAAAAGTGAGTAGGATGCCTTCCCCATCTAAACTAAAGGACATGACACTAGTTGTAAACCTGGGAGTTGTTTCTATGTTGCTGTTTTGAAATGATAATTTTCCACCTGCCTACAACCTAGTCTCTCTCTCTTTCCATATATATTGACATTGTTTCTGCCTGAAACATTTATGCTTAAAAAATTAGGTTGATGAATGAGAAGAGACGGTTCTCCTAATAAAGTCATTGACAGAAAGGCCAGAAGCCTTTTTTTCAGCCTGGAAGCTTGTCATTTGGCTGCTGTAAATTGCTCTGAGTAGCAAGATAGTAAAACAAAGACAAAAATAGGGCAATAGATGACACTGAAGCAGGAAGTGTCCCAGCAGATCGAGCGTTTGTGGTGAAATACAATTAAAACATTACAAATTCCTCATTCATTGTAACAAGGGAACAAAGGCTGTCTCAGAACTTATGGAGCTCATATGCTTCTACAAGACCTTTCTTGTATGTGACAGATCTGTTACTGGCTGCCGGGTGACCCTGGATGATATCACACTGCAGTCTATAAAAATGTTGTCCTCCTTTCATTGCGCTGCAAGACTGAGACCCACTGAAATGGTATTAGGCGGTCTTGTCAATGTGTAGATCATTCCTGTCCAATTTTAGCTTTCCTATGCCTGTTTTGAGCAGGGATTTTGCTTTGCCTTAGCTCCTGCATTCGAAGATGCCTGGAAGGTGTGTTAGAAGAACCAATATTTGAATACTTCTCAAAGTCCAGATGTAGCTTTCTGCAGTGGTTATCCTGTTGATGTCAGTGTGACTGTGGGATCATCAGAGGAGACAATAAGACAATCCGCACTCAGCTGCAATTCTGCTTTCTGTGTTCATTATTGACAGCTGTACTAACAAGCTGTAACTTTGTGAGGTTCATTTTGCTCAAGCCTAAATGCCTTGCATATAACTTTGGGAAATCCAGCTGATCAGGTTGAATTCAAGGCACTGCTTGGGTACTCAAAGTTACATAAAAGATGTGATACAATTACCAGAGCTTTGGATTAGTCTTCTGAGCTACTGGGAACCATAGCAAGAGACACAAAAGCCACTTTAACATCAACTAGCTGAATGCACCACCCCCAAGAGAGAAGACCATGTCTCCAACACCAATGGCCCCACTAAGCATGCGCATCATCCCTCTGACAATCAAGGGAGCTGCCTTGCTCATATGCGTAAGTGTTCATCTGAATC